TTCACCAAGCCACCACACTGTGGAGCTGCAATCTGAGAGGTTTCAGTCAGTCTGCTGTCCTACCTGAGACAGGGGGCTGTTATGCATTGAGAGTGCCCTCCTGCTTCTCAGGACACTGTCAGCTGGCGCTTCTTCGACCCTGCGTCTGCGCAGAGGAAGTAGCTCGGCATCATCCTCACTGGAGTAGTCATCGGATACCCCCATCACGGAGCTCTTTGAAAAATCCTGTAACAGAGTTTTAGAGAGGATTCCACAGCTTTACCCAACAAAAAAAATACTCCAATGAGCGGCAGTCTGCTTATTACTTCTGCTGGACATTAGTTTCCAATTAAGGTATTACCCTGAAAAAGCAAGACAAGAGTTTCAGCCTGTTTTCTATGTCAGACAAGAGAAAATTCCAGAAACCAGTGTCATTATTGCATCTTATTGCAAGAATTTGTAAATTCCTAAAGACCTTTTAAAAATATTATTGAGAGGGTTATGTAAATTTTCAAACAATTGTTCTAAGAAGTGTTAAAAATGTTAAAAAGTGATCATGGCACAACTGTGATTTTTTTATTCTAAAAACTAAAATGTTTAGAAAACTTCATGATATTGAAGGAAAGGAGTCACCTTAAGATATGTTGAAATATATTCTGCCCAAACAAATTTGTCAGAAATTTGGTTTTACTGTCAGGCACATCCACCTTACGAGACTGAGATTGACATTATGAGATGGGTTTGTGTGAAGGCCATGGGGGTTACAGTGAGCTTTAATTTGGAAACAGACCAACACTACTCTTAAAGCCAAGGTTAAATAAATCATCGTTGTCCACACAAAAAGAAAAAAACATACAAAAATAAGAATTGATAATAAAAGCCTATGACGATAATATTTTAAAAGCTCACCACTCTGTTAGATACTGCTAGACAGGTCCCAGCATTCAATGCAATGCCTTATTAAGAACTTCACTGAAGGGGGCTCTGACCTGCCTCTTTGGTGCTTTGGAATACTTGTCATTCTGGCCCAGCAGGCAGTGCTGCAGCTCAGGAGGTCTGTCTGCCTGGGCGTTCAGGCTGCCATCCCTCTGTGCTGTCTTGTCACCAGGGCTCCTCTCCTTCCTCGGCCTGCGCAGGGAACACACAGCAATGCCAACACTGACGACAGAAAGGCAGAAAGCACGGCGCTTGCATTTCTAGTCTAAAACCCTGAGCATAATTAAGAGCATCAGAAAGGGCACAAATGAGAAGAGGCCTTGCGGTTGTAAGCCGCTAATTGCCGTGAGGATCTCATACCAACATTTCGAGAAAGAAAGCAGGGTTTTGGCTGCAGCAACGTGGCTGGGTAGCTCTTTCCATACCAGCCTCCTGTTTTCACATTTAAAAACAGTTTCCATTTGTGTTCTCTGGTTTGTGTTTTTCAGGGATGACTTGGCATACCTCTTTGAGGGTTTCAAATACTGTATGTCTTCTAACTGTCTTTGCTAGAATAGTTCTCCGAAGCCAACTACTTTTGTATTTGACAAACCAGCAGTTTAACATCAAAGCTAGGAGTACTGTATGTTCCCACTCCCCCCTTATTCTGAGAGAGCTGCAGGGCAAGACTCCGACCTTCTCCTGCGTGCCGGGCCAGCTGCAGGGCTGCGGCTGGACTCTGTGGACACGATCTGGCAGTGGACTGTGCCCAGCAGCAGCATGAGACACATTGGGCCCACCAGTTCACTGATGTTCACGGCTGACGTCTCCAAATAAAGGAGCACTGCTAACACTGCAAGGAAACAAAATGCCAACAGCAGTGAATCCATACCTGGCCTGCCTTTTTTAGCTGGCCTCCTCATCTTTTCTGTCTTTTCAAAGAGGGAATTATACGTTTCTCTCACATTTCCTAGCCTCTGACCTTACAAGTTCTTAAAGCCTGGAGGCCGAGTCGTTAGAAGGGAAGTGCAGTCCAATTTTCTCAGATCGGTTAACAAATCTCGGTATCAAAATCAATTAATTGACGGTAAAGAAAAATTTTACGAATTTCGAATTGGGCACAAAATAATGAACTTTGTGAAAGTCACAAAGTCATGTTGTGACAAACTCGAATTTGAGTTCCCACAAATTGTGATGTGAAGCGGCCCTTCCTGCTCACAAGTCACTGTAACGTCTAATGTAATGCGATGTGATGTATGTGTGAATAAGTACAGGTTTAGCAGCAGATATTTCACAGCAGAAATGGTGCAACGTGATTTGCATGCAGAGTTAACAAGTACGTAGCATTTGTGGGCAAAAAACGCTGAAGGCAGGCTGACTCACTGGCTCGCTCACTGTCACCTCTGACCTCGAGGAGAAGGACTCACCTTGCAGGCAGTAAAGCAGCAGGAGCCATGTGAAGATGCACTTGGAAGTGACCTGGATCCACCACTGGAAGAAGACGGGAAAGAAGAGGACCCTCACGAGGCCCTTCCGTGTCAGGGATGTCCATGGACTCTCTGGCTTGGCCTTGCTGAACGTAGAGCCTTACGAAAGAGTCGTTCAGTCACCCAGCTAGCACGGCCCTACACTCCACTGGCCTTCATGAATAAACCTACACTCTCCCTTTACTTGGACAAATAACATTGTTCTTCAGGCCAGGCACTTACCTCTTAAGAGATCAACATCAATCAGATCAGCTTTGATGCGTCCTCTCTTCTTTGGTTTGTTTCTCAGACCCTGCGATAGACAGGCACATAAAAATCTAGCCGGTCACTACAGTTGGGTCAATTCAACACGCTTTTTCATCTAGATTTGGAATCACTGTTTTTTGTATTTCTTACCTACCAAAAGTGGAATTAGCAGTACGACTTGGAGAGAAGGTGGATGGACGAGTGCCCTTCTCAAACATGTCTGCTGATCAGAGCCAATTCTCAATCAATGTGCTCCAAGCTAAGAGTGCCTTACAATTGAGCGAACCCCAACTGGGGGAGAAGCACACTGCAGGCTGACACATGGCAAGCTGAAGCAATGCTTGCCCTGTCCATCCCTGGCACCCAGTCGAGCGTCATTGTATGGGGAATCTTGATCTCTATTGAATCTGAATCAGCTGCAACATGGTTTAGGCTCAAACCAGTGATCACCGAGCAGCTCGACTGCTTGAATTAATTGGCGACATAAAAAAACTTGAGATGCACGCTCTTCTTTTAGAGAAGCAGACTGGTACTGTCTCTTCCCACTGTTGAAATGAGGTTATTTTTAAAGTACGCAACGTATTTTAGGTAAAATGCTTTTACCTTAAAGTATCAGCTGAAGAAAGACTATTAGTTACCTTTAACTCAGTTTGTTCTAAGGATTTCTCCCATATTTGCTGATCATAGGCTCCTATCTGAAAGAACAAGAAATATCTTAGGGATTGCCTTCCTGTATGCTAAATATAACAAAACTTTCAGAGAAATAGCATATTTTTTTCTTTCCAGTCAATGAATTAAAACTTTACTTTCAACTTGATGGTTCCTGTGATGCTCAATACAGAAAAAAAAGTCATTATTACCTTTTCTTGATACCATGCTATCGCATCTTTTTCATTTGATGCCATTTAGAGTCCAATCAGGTCATTTCACTGCAAAAAGAATAGCAGTGGGAACAGATCAGATACTGGGATTACTAGAGGAATTAACACTTTTCACAGTTTATAACTCTGCGAAGTGAAGGTATAACAAATATCAGCATCGAACTAATGCAACAAACGCAACACTACAAAATCAGACGAATAAATTATAATGCAGAGATATTAGCCTGGATATTAACCGCCTGAGGGAGTAACAAGAGAAATGCAGGGCTGCAGGTTTACAGTACATACAAAAGGCCCATTGGTGCCTTATGAATCAAAGCTGATTACAGCAGATCTGAAGACCTGAAAAAACAAGCACATAGAACAGTGGGCTAAACCAGTTAGGCTAGCTCACAAAAATGATTTTTGTTTAAGGAGGTTAATTGCCATTAACCCATTCTGAACACAAGAAAGTGATGAATTATCATTAACAGAGTTGTTTTTGTAAAAGTAAATAGCGCAGGTTTATTACGGCTGGCACAGAAACCTGCCAAACCTGTCGATGTCACAGTATGTTGATGCTGTGTACAGTAAAGATGTACAATGTCAGAGGGTCAGTGTACAAGTACATCAACAGCGCTGGCCTGTTGCCACTAAACTAGGCTCACAAGGTTAAACACTATCGTCTTAAAATAATATAAATATCTCTTTTACCAAAGTCAAACGTTAAACCTAAACAAGTGATGTCCTCGAAAATACCAATACGGACTCAGTTCAATGTACACCGGTGGGACTGTCTGTCCATTGCCTGTATTCACTTTTGCAATTCGGTCGAGAAATCGATAATGCATTAAAAAGTGTACTGCCAGCAGTGCTTAATTCACTTTGTATACTGTATGTTGTAACACCAACACAATATCGGCATTAAAGCACTTGCTTACTTCATCTCAAGGTGCATTAGTGTCTGTGAAGTACACGCGCAGATAACGGAACGTCTATGCCTTATTTGAATATAAACAATTACCAAGTTACACGGAGGTTTCAAGGTAGAACAAGGAAATCGGAACCTGCCAAAGAAATAAAACATGATACGGATTTCCATTTCTCTCCCACGATTTCTTGTTGAAAGGGCATCAGCACAAGTTAAGAGCTTTAGTACAGAATTACATAATTTTAAAACGTTCTTTTAATTACAAATATAAAAGCATTCACTTACCAAACAAAAGGCTGGAAATGACACTTAACTGGGCACCAAGATTAATATATTTAGCCAACGATAATCAGCACCACTACCGATTTTACTGCCGCCGATTAAAAACAAAAGTTCAGATCTTCCACAATTCCAGTATTTCCTGTTCAGATCACAATGTCCATGTTAATATCCATCGGTAGGTATACATGCCGCATTCCGCAGTTCCAAATGATGATTTTTCAAATATAATTGTTATTTCTTGGACGTGTCTGCAATTCAGAAATCCAGGAAACTGACGAGTATCTAGGTCCCATTATCCACAGAGAGGCATTTGCAGTTGGGCAAGAGAGAAAAGTTTTGCATTTCTACGCACCGGTTTGCAGCGATCAGTTGCAAAATTATGTCCTCCTGTCTTTACATACAGTAACACTGTCTTTTACAACATTAAATGTTAACGTTAGCCTCTCACAGGTCAACACGCCGTTTCTTGGTGCACAATACAGAACAACAGAAACATTGTTTTAGTTTTACTTCCTTTTTCCGGGTTCACGGACTGACCAATTACTACAAGTCTGCGGTTTGTTAGAAGTGACAGTTCGGGCAGCGCTACTGTATTAACTGTGTGGTGTGCTACTGATAAACCTATGGCGTGTTTGTCATTTTGTAAGGAAACAAACACAAAAAAGAAAAACTGAAATGTCCTGTCATAAGGAGATGTTAGACTACTTAACATCTTAACTTAGTTAAGCGTACTTGAGAAAAGACAAATAGCTTATAGAAACATGTACGGTTGGGATTTTAAACCTATTTAGACAATAATAATAAACATTTGAAAAGTGTACGAATGTATCTTAAGTGTGGTTGCGCCAGTATTTCACTTTTGAGATTGCAAGAAACAGGAAACACATGATAAGAAACGATTGCAAAAGAAAGAAGGCGATTAGGCCCTGCCCTAGATCGTTTTTAAATTACAAATGTTAATCTATGCGAGGAAAGAAGCCAAGGTATCGACTTCAACAAAATGATTGAGTGGCTGCAGTCTCCCACAATGTTTTGTGTAAATACTGTTGGTGTTTTTGTTTTTGATACACTTCCTCTTCTTTTTTGTGTTTTATGTTTTCTGGTTTGACTAACGATATTGAATCTGAAGAATCCCTACGATTTGATTTAATTATGTTTTTTGAGTATTTTGTATACTAAGTGTTCTTCTTTTGGCTTTTCACGGTAGGAAACAGTACTCCTTTGAGCCCATGAAAGTACAGTACCTCATCAGTCTTATCTTGACTGATTCCAGTGTAACACGTATATATTTATTGAGGTAACCAAAAATGTATGTACGGTACTGAATGAGGTCTTCCTATTGTATTTTATTAAATATCCTAACATTTGGTTAGCCTATTTTATTGTTTCCCCACATTCTATAGAAGATGGAAATTATATATAAGTAAAAATACATGTTTTTTTCATTGGTTGCATCTTCAAGCTCAACATTTTTTCATTTCTGATTTATAATTTATGTTTATGTTATCTGCATAACACGTTTGTACATTAAATGCTATTCTTCTGACAACCTCACCTGAAGCATTTGAGCATTTACCTTTTATCTGCACTATTTTCTATCATTTAACCAGTTCTCAGTCCAAAGACATTTGAAAATTAATCTTTATGAGTAGTTTTCGCAAAAACCTTCTAAAAATCTCAACTTTAACCTCATACAGTGCTCTGTTTGCAGTTAAGCTAGACCTGTCTTTTATAAAGGGTTACAAACACCTAGAATCCCATTGACATATAGATCATCCTATAGTTTGCCAAAAATCCATCAATCCATTTTCTAACCCTTCGTCCAATTCAGGGTCACAGAGGAGCTAGAGCCTATCCCAGCAAGCAACAGGCGCAAGACAAGCTACACTCTGGATGGGACAATAGTCTGTTACAGGGGACACACAGACAAAAATAGACATACATACTCACAGTTTTGGGCCAATTTTCCCAGCAGCCAATTAACTTACCAGCATGTCTCTGGACTGTGCAACAGGTGCTCTCTTGTGAGCACAAAGGGTCCCAATCCTACTGGGAGAGAGGAGGGAACTCAGTTGAACTGGCAGCCCAGTATGTGATCTCCTGTCACAGCCTGAGGAACAGCGAGTCTGTCTCCCAGTAATGCTCAATGTGTTCACAGTATATGTAAATATTTTATGATATGTCTTTCTTGTAAATGTCTGTAATACAGTATGTATGTAGATTTTATTTTAGTTTTAGTTTTGTTTCCTGTTAATTTGATTATTTTTATTTCCTGTGGCAACACCGATTGTACCCATTAAATTGAATTGAATTGAAATGAAAAAAACACACCTTGGAGAGAGAGAAGTCAGGGAATCAAGGGAAAAGCTGACCTGTTTCTGGAGTGGTAAGGTGATGTCTGTGCGACCCAAGGCAGGTTTGATGTATGTCACATCAACTGCAAAGAACGATACAGGATCGACAGGATGTGGCTTGAAAATCCCTGCACCATCTCTCAGCTATAAAGGCGATAGGCTTATTGGATTCTTGACTCGCATATCAAATGGGCTGTGATTTATGATCTACTGTATGTAAAGCCAAATTTAAATGTCAATCTGTCATACATCGAGTCTTACGATAAAAGTGCCACATGTTCTACTCATTATCTACTGCAATTATTGAGAAAACCCTGATATGTATGCAAAGCATGAAAGTTTTTCACCATGCTTTCCTATTAGCAGTGTTAAAATTCACTCTGAGGCTTTCAGCCACAAGGTGTCAGTTCAGCTCAAAGTCAGCAATTCCACATCATTGTGTAGTCAAGACAGGTTAAGAATATTGTACTACATTGTGAGTCTGTACTGTGAGGAACTTGCATTAGGAGTTTAATCTGTAATCACATTTCTCTCGTCTTTACAACCATTAAACCTTTATTTCAAATGATTATTCATTTAAATTTACTTGCTGTGAATTTTACTTGAATTCACTCATCATTTTGTGCTCTTCCTTACGTGTTAAGAATTATACAGACTTTTTCCTTTCCTCCGTAATTCATTCCTCAGATCAGGAGCGGAGGTAACTTTGAGGCACAGCTGTTTAGTGGTTCGAAATGATGAAAAGCAGCAAAAAGCAAAATAATGCATCCCATTGTTTGGAAAGAATTATGAGAGCAGCTACACTACAGGTGATGTGGCTTCTTTCGGGTTTTCTGTAACCAAATCAGATCGGGCGGGGTGTTTAACTCCCTCCCCTGTACAGCTAAAAGGCCAAGTCAGCTGCCTCCTTGTGTGAAATCAATAATTAACACTCCTGAGAGCACAGCCTACAGACAGGCATCAGAATAGAAGTACTTGACCTGCTCCACTTCTCTCTTTTAGAAGGGTAAGCTGTTACGTTTTTCCTTGCTTCTCTGTCTTATGAATTAATATATAAATCTAATAATGTCCAAAGGGTTTTATTTAAAACAATGTCTTCATGTTTTATTGCATTCAATTTCAGTAGCGCAATATAAAAAATCAATAGATGAACAAATGCATACATTAATCTTATTGTTTCGGGGGGGGAGGGGATTTAATATGCCAACAAGTGTGCCTTCACAAACATTGTGTTGATATTTTTGCCATTGATATGGAGCACTTGGCTCTATATTTTCATCTGTCAGACATATTTTTAAACCTTTTCTCAGTAATATTGCCGTAGTTTAAAATCGCTAATTCCATTATGATTTTTTTTTAACAATTTCCAAACATTGCTTCAAAGCTTATGTTTGAAATACTTTTTGAATTGTGTAGGTGACCGGGGTGATTGGGTGTGATTAAATGTGAGTGTGTGAGTTCTGGGAACCGTGCCGTATACTGGTACGCTCTATGTAGTACCTGATCATCTGAAGGTTAGATAAAAGTATGGACTGTTATAGGCAATGAGAGGCTTGGCATGGAATACTTGCAATACTGCCAACACTGTGATATTTCAGACTACACCAATGTTTTACGTGAAAAAAAAAACAGTTTCCTGTGTAGTAGAGTCAAAGCATTGTGTTCAACTGGGAAAAGGTGAATACCTATGAATCCACCATTAGAACTATTAAGCCAGAATATCTATCCATCCAATTTCTAATCCCTTCACCAAAGTCGGGTTCGCATGTCTATCCTACCAAGCAATGGGCATGCCAGGGCCAATTTTCCCAAAAGCCAATTTACCTACACAAATACAAATGCCACGCAGACACCACCCCAAGTCTGGAATTGAACCAAGGACCCCAGACCCATGAGGCAGCAAATGCTAACCACTGTCTCACAGTGCCACTTCAGTATAAAAAAATGAAAGATTAAAGTACAAAATGCTATGTACAGAATGTCAAATCAATTCCTTTTGAAATTGAAAGTGCACTGTAACTCAGATTGGAGAAAAAAAATGTAAAGTCCATAGCAGAGTCACATCACCAGGCCACAGCTTATCCTGATTTCCACAGCTTTAAGCAGACTGAAGAGCACATGAATCCCAGGCTGGATGGGACCCCTGTTAACCACAGGGATGACCCCAACAATGCTGGTCCCCATTTATACAGGTGGGGGGACTGGAGCAACAGAGGTACAGGACCTCACTCAAGGGTACAGCAGCAGTGTCTGCAGTAGGGACTTGAACCCACAACCCGCCAATCATGAGTCCAAAGGCTTACCTACTACACCCTGCTATTCCACTATACTGGAGGAAAGTGCAATAAAATGGGGAAAAAAGCTGGTTCTTGTCTTCCTGTCCTGGGTGGGGGCGGCCATTGTAGCCAGTGTTACCCTTTCCAGCCTCCCCCTTGGATTTTGATTGGCTGGTGAATCCTCAGGGGTCATGTATCAACAACGCCCACGCTACGTGATTGGGAGGCCAGCCTATTCCCTGCGTAGCTTTGATGAGGATTTCGACAAGAAGAGCCGAAGCTTCCCAGCAGCAGAGAAAGTGAAGAAACTCTTCAGGTATGGGGCTCCTCTTCATGCTAGCCCTCCATCGGGTACACTGAAGGTTACCAAGACTAAGGGCCACCCCCCTTGCTGGCTCCCTTTGTTAAGTTATTGGCCTCACCCACCCCACCCTTTCAATCGGCCTTCTGTCCTGTCCTTGCCATCCATTCACATCTTCATCCTGCCTTGCAGTCACACCCCCTGGCCTGGAGCACATCACCAGTAACCTCAGTGCAGTCAACACTTCTCATCCTCCATCTCCCTCTCTCTCTACCTGCCTCCTTCTGCCTGCTCCACATTCAATTCACTTCACCTCAAAGTGTCTTAATGGCCAGGTTTTGTTTAAGTACATTTTTATCGATAGGTCCAGAGCAAGCAGAAGAGTAGAAATTACAACATATAATAATATAATTCCACGCCAGATAACTGAGATGTTACAAATATTACTGTAGATGGACATTAAAAAGGCAATATTCTAATATTCATATTTGTATTTGTAGAGTATATTCATGCTGATATCAATTCAATATTAGTAATATTGATTTAATTCTTGTGGAGTGATATTAATATTTATATATTTATAGTACTTTATGAACATGCATATTATTGTCGGAGGCATGGATACTTTGTATACGTGACCATGTAACAAGCTGTAATGAATTCAACTGCTGTTTCTGTGTGTTTCTTTGGGATTACACTTGGTTTGGTTTCTGTGCTTGTCAATCTGGGGTGCCTGCTAACTAGTCAATCTTGCCTGTGTGTCATCTGTCATTTTCCAGGCTCACACTTGCCACACAGAAGCAGATCTCTGTATTTCCAGGTCTGTCTGTGCTGGCACCTCTTACTGTGTTTAGCCTTCACATTCTCCAGTATTTCCCACACTAAATCCCACTCAGAAATCCCATTACCAGAAGGTGAAAAACACAATGTAAAAGATCCAGTCACAGTTGTAGTGGTCATTGAAAAAAGAACTAAAGAGAAGAGAAATTAGGAAAAAATTAGATTTGTTTTCTGCACCTAACAGAACAGTCTTACTTGTCTTTGCCAGGTGTTCCGGGTCTTGTCTGAAAGCTCTGGCCCTCAGACACTTCCCCATCCTTAGCTGGCTGCCCAAGTACAAAGTGAAGCAGAACCTCCTTGTGGATGTCATCAGTGGAGTCAGTGCAGGCACCATACAGGTTCCACAGGGTCAGTTTGAGCTTGTGAATATGTAGTCCAAGGGGGCACAACACTGGTAACTGAGAGCTACAGACCAATCTAGGTCTCTAAGAACCATGATCTACGATAGACTTGTTGTAAAAAAAATGTATTTAATCAAAGAAGCTGTTAAATCAACCAGTAACAACTCTAGTGGAATGAAAACTAGAATTAGAACCTATTGCCCTTCAGGACTGGAGTTGAGGGGACCACATGTACTGTACTTTTGTCAAAAACACAGAGTTACAAAAGTCGCAATGAGAGCTCTTTCTCTTCACTTAATATTTTCAACATATTATATTTCCCACTATCAAGGCCTTTTTTCTCATGACACAACTCAACATCACTAAACAAGTTAAGTTGCAATTCTTCCACTATTGACCTATGAGTTTATCAAATAATACATCAGTTTGTATATTATTGTACATTTGTTTATCTATAATCATTCAGATAATATCATTACATTACTGAAGTTGGAGAATGTTCAAAGAAGTGCAAAAATACCTAAGCAAATTAAATGTTGTGAAAGTCAAATCGCATTATAACAATTGACCAATACTTCATTACGAAGAGTTCTCCTTGAAAGTACTGAACAAACACACATTCCACTTCTCTGAGTTTTGATTCAGAGGGAGAGTTCCAAGTACTTCTAGGGGAACAGATTTACTGAAAGAAGATGATAAGTTAACTGTTCATCTCTAACATGATTAAATGAGATTGTATAGCCCAAGACCTGAAAAGTCCAGAGCTGAGATCCTTTCCATTCAAAATGTCTCTGATCTACTGTAGTCTTGTTGCTGATTGAGATTTGAACATTGAACATGTCATTCACAGGTATGGCTTTTGCCCTGCTGGCAAACCTGCCTCCGGTCAATGGCCTCTACTCCTCTTTCTTCCCACTCATCCCATACTTCTTCATGGGCACTGCCCACCAAATGGTGCCAGGTAAAATGTTCTCCTTGGAGGATCAAAATAGAACCTCCATTCAGACACAGAAGATCAAATGTGTGTCTCTCCCTTCTCTCCCTTAATTCCCATTTATCTTGGACACCCAGACAGGTGTGTACTTAAATTTTGTGAGTACTGCAGGAATGTCAAAACCCCAGTGGGAGGAGTTACACCTACTGATACCATGTAATCACGAGATTCATTGTAACTATTTCACAGACTTTTCTATTTTTTTTTTCTGCAGTTCTTATTTAACATTGTCATAATGCAATATTCATGGGGAGAAAGGCTGTCTGCACAGCCACAGCACAATGTTGGAAATTGCTTGATATCAGAGGTAAAACAGAAGGATTTCCACAGTCTGTAAATGTCTCTTTGTTACATTGATATAGGTGCCCAGCAGTGGTTAGTATTTGGATTAGGGAATTGAATATTGCAAATAAAGACATTCCCCCAAAATATGTGTGGGTTATTAAAATTTCTGCCTTCAAAAACCTTAAGTATCCACTTAAATGTCCCTTAAATCCACTTACATTTGAGAACTATCATCGATAGAATCGTAAGAAGCTAGTCCTTGTTAAATTCTGGAAATAGCTCCCATTCTCTTTGTCCATTATTTTAAATAGGAATATTCTGTGTGCCTATATATGATATTTCGGGATAATCACAGTGGCATTATTGCAGCTTAAATGCAGTTGGCACTGTGCTGTGAGTCTCTACATTGCCCCACCATGAATCAGTGGATCCTGGCCCATCTTGATATTATTGATATGGAACTTCAACTGCTAGGATGCATGGTGCCAGTGGGAGTGTGGAGTTCTGTTGCTGATGCAATGAGAGTCCTGTTGCAGCAGACTCCAGTGTAGCTGTATGACTGTTTTGTAGGGTTAAATAGAAACTTGTAGGGTTGGAGTACGGTTATTCTTGTTTTTATTTTTTAATTGTATATTATTGTGTTTAGGAAATTAAATTCACTAAAAGACCCACCTTCATATGTACAAGATATTTGTACAATAAATTGAAAAATGAAAAAAGAAAACATTGAATGCTTTTGCAGATTTCTGAGTGCAATACTGTATAGTACAACAAAAGGAGCAATAAGGAGCCCAGTGTTGGGAGCAGTGAGAAAGTCTTTATCAGTAAGACTTCATTTGGACTGACTGAGGTTGACTAGGAATGTTGATGCCCCTTTTCCAGTACTGTGCAATTAAATTCAACTTGGGAAAACGTCTCAGAGCATGCAGTCACTCTGTTTGTGAACCTGGAGAATTCTGGTACACCTGCACTGCCGTACCTAACACTGAGCCGGTCATGTGTGAGGGCTCCCTTCTGTAATGGTCTACTGCGTGTGAAATTTGAAAAGAGCTCCTTCTCTGCAGGCACGTTTGCAGTGCTCAGCATCATGGTGGGGATGGTGTGCTTAGATCTAGCGCCCAATTCCCAGTATGAACACTTCAATGCCACCCTCAACAGCACAGTGCTGGATGAGGCGAAGATGAACGCCGCCCGACTGCACATCTCAGGAACACTGGCCTGCCTGACAGCACTCATACAGGTAATCATTTACTGCTCATCAATTTCAAGCTAGCCATTCTTCTTAAAATGTAAACATGAATTTCTCCTAACCGTGACAAGATTCTTTTAATTGAAATTTTAACTTGTAAATTAAGGGTGAAACCTTTGATACCTTCTCTCTTAAGGACTGGAAATGTGTGTGTCTTCCAATGTAGATTTTACTGTCTCAGATAATTTCTGCATTTTTTTCAGGCTACTTTGCCATGTTACTTTTTTAATTGACTTATATTACCATTTACATTGAAGACCACTGTGTGAAATATAACATGGTGAATGTCCTCCTTTGCATCCTTTTGTTATATTCTTTCTTGTGTTCCTAAACTTCTGCATAATCCTATGCAAGCATACCCTGTAATGTAACATGAGGACAACATTTAAGGCCCATGATCAGGTAAAAAAAATCCCTTCTCGATGATAAAGTGCTTTATAAATCTAACTGGGGCAGTGTGGAAAATTGGCTAACAATGCATTAATTTCTATTGTGTGGTGAGTCCAGACCCTCAATGTGAACAATGCTGTTGTAGTAGAGAATCTTAAGAGGAGAAGATTGAGTGCACCAGTGCATCTGGCTGCACAAACAGGCAACAACATTGCTGGAGGGTTATCCTGACATGACCTAATATCATATCCAATGAGACACTTCATGCCACAGAATCCGAGATAACCTCTGGAATAATGAGTCAGTACGCCCACGAATGACTTAGTTCATGAAGTTTGTCTGTTTAGTCAACTGATAATCAAATCAACCAAATCAACTGTTTAATCAAATGTATCTGTTTAATCATGAATTTACCTGTTTAACCAACCAGAATGTGGAGCAAAACATAAATCTGACACATATCAAATGGGACAATGGGGAACATGTTCCCGTGGAAACCAATGCAATAAAAACACTGGTGAGCGTGAAACTGATGCTTTGCAGTCATCATTGTGTCCATGTGGACTTATCACCAGTGACATCAGCGCCTTCCATCAATCGTGCTGTCATCCACAGGTGTCCCCCCTATTTGCTACCCAGATAAAGATAAAGACTGGTTGTGATTGTCTCTCACTTTCTGCTCCCTGCCTGTGCAGATGGGCCTGGGGCTGATGCAGTTTGGCTTTGTAGCAATCTACCTGTCCGAATCCTTCGTCAGGGGCTTCATGACAGCTGCTGGGCTGCAGATCCTCATCTCTGTCCTCAAATACATCTTTGGCATCTATGTGCCCCCTTACAGTGGACCCCTGGCTGTCATCTACGTGAGTCTGTCTCTATCTACATCCACTATGTGGCCTGTCATCCAGTCTCTTTGACCTCATGCCTTAACCCCACACAGATAGCATCTACTTAGTTAATCTCTTTATTAATGTTTATTTGACTGTTGTCTGGTTGATTTCTGACAATCTGCAATATGTCTGAGAAGCACAAGGCAGAACTGCCACCAGTTTCCCTCTGCCGAGAACCATCACCAGACCTCAAACTGATGGAACATACTGTTTGGTATGCTTCTACATACTATAGCATCACCCTCATCCTAACCTCAAATAATGTCAAAAGGTCTCTGAATGTTTAACATTGTGATGGGACTCAGTGTGCTGAGCAGGTTACAGGGGTGATGTCAATGTCAGAGTTTTACACTCTGAAATCTCGACAGTGTAAAACTCCTAGGGAGTGGAGCTGGGCATGCTTGGAGCCCACAAGAGACCAGGATCAAATCCCAGCAGTGACGTGCAGAAGCCCAGAACTTTTTTATGTGGACCTACATTTTTTAGGTCAATGAGTATGAGAAATATTTGAAGGGGAATATTTTGAGAGTTTATAAAATGCACATCTGCGGATAACAGGCCTGTGTGTCTCCTAGACTCTGGTGGATATCTGCTGTGGGCTTCACAAGACCAACATAGCTTCCCTGATCTTTGCGATAGTCAGCAGCGTGGCTCTCATCGTGGTGAAGGAGCTCAACGCACGATTCCGACACAAGATACCTTTCCCCATTCCCATGGAGATCATTATCGTGAGTAAAGGGACAGAGGACACTCACAAGGCTTCTCACAGGGAAGCTTCTACCTTTTACCATACAACAGTTGCAATGAACATCATTACTCAACACAGCTGATGACTTAAATGAAGTGTCAGCCTTGTATTCTTGTATTAGTTAGAAAGGACACAGTTTGCAATATACGATGCTTTGACTACACTGCACTTCATCAGCTGGTACAAAACAATATATTTATTTATTTTGACAAAAGTCCATTCATTTAAACTGGGATTAAATTGCTTATGGTATAGTAACCATCAAAATAGTCTGAGGATGTACAGTTTCTTTCTAAATAGACCCTACTGAAGGCTAGTGAGGCAAAATCATTGCATTTACTTCTAGTCAGTAAAAATACTATGGATTTAATTTAAATGTGTTATGTGTCCCTACAGTAGGTATGCTACCCTTACCACATTACCAAAGGAATACAATGTGATTCGAAACTTATGATACACTTACAGTACATACTGTATGTATAGTGGGAATGAAAAGATGATGGAGAATGAATTGAATGAACAAGATTACATGTAATGTGAAATTATTTTTTTCTATGCTTTGAATGGACTATAATTGGTTCATGGCTTTTTAAACATGCCTAGTGTAGCTCATATGGTTTTTTCTATTGAATAATAATAAGATAATAATAAGGTATAGCAATTCATTTTAAGTAGTGTTTACCATAGTATGCTACAGAACGCTTGGTTCACTGTGTTAAAATCATAGGAAAACAAAACAAAAATGCAAAGTCACAGTAAATGCAGAAAAATACTATGTTAAGTATGCCATGCAAACATTTCCCTGGGGCCTTAATGAAGGATTAAATTCTGAAGAATATTTGTATAAAATAATGTAAAATACAAACATCCAAGAAACATTTTCTTTTTTCAACTTTTATTTATTTTTTAGATCCCCATTTACCGGTCGTGAGAAGGCTGCTGATTTTAAATTGCTGGATTTTTACCTTAATGCAGATGGCCAGTCGCCGTGTGAGGCCAATACTGTGTCCATTGTGTCCATTAATCTCCCTCTGCTCTCTCAGGTGGTTGTAGCCACAGCCATCTCTGGGCCTCTGGACATGCCACAGAAATATCACATGGACATTGTGGGGCACATCCCTGCGGGGTGAGACTGATTGACTCTCATTTCTTCACAGACAGACTCTATACTAGATTTAACTAGATTTTTTATTGCCTTCCCTTGCTGTACATTTTCTTGGAAACACTTTAGTTTCTGAATAATGAACTCAATTATAGAAACTCCATAAAGGCTTATGTGATCTAGAGACCAGTTAGTATAATGCAACTTAATTGACAGTTTTGCATCATGCTCACATTAGACTTGGACAATATAATGGATGCTGTTAATTTAGAGGATGTTAAATGGTATAAGGATAGTTCAATCAACAATGGTACAAAATTACTGTAAGTATCCTGAATAGGCCTATTGTGTTTATTTTCTCCTTAATGATTCGAAGACTTTTCTTTAAAATTCACTTCACTTGTACTGTAGCAAACATGATCACTTCTTACAACTGATTCCCTTGCACCCCAACCCTCCAGGTTCCCAGCTCCCATCATCCCTGAGGTGAGCCAGTGGGGGGACATGATCGGGACCGCCTTCTCTCTCGCCATCGTTGGGTACGTGATCAACCTGGCCATGGGGAGAACGCTGGCGGCCAAGAATGGCTACGACGTTGACCCCAACCAGGTACACGCTGTCGGCCGGGGAACTCTAATTGAGATCGCACCCACGCTCTTTGCAGTGTCTCAAGATCCAGTGCAGGTTTATGTGTGAGATCACCGGCGCTGACCTCCTAATGCTAGTTATTGTAACAGATTGTGTTTCGTTGCCTCAGACCGTTTAATGACAAAAGTTACTGCTATCTGTGCCTCTTCAGTGACAGAACAGAGGTTGTTTTCTGGACTCCAGAGATTTTCCTGTTCTAATATGTGTCGTGCTGTTTGTCAGCTGTGGCCTGTAAATCAGTGGCACCAGTGCGCTTGTGTGCCTTTGAGCAAGAACTGCATTGCCCTTCCACATGATGCCTTAACTAGGAAAAGAAATTAAGCAGTCCCACAGCACTGAGCTGATAACGGACGCCCCTGGGGACAATAAAAAGGAAAACTGGTCCTTGATTGTTCGCTGTAGCATAATTAAGTAGCACAGAATCACCAGTTCTTAAAGAATGCAAGTGTCATTTGTAGGGTCAGCTGGACTTCAATTAATATCAGTTAAACAATTTATGTAATATTTGTAGTGGTGGAAAGAAAGTGAGTTGAAGTCTCCTGTCCCTTGAATTTCGTTCACACCACTTCTTTCAAGCAGTCCTTTGATTTCTCTTTTTGTGCAGGAAATGCTGGCTCTTGGCTGCAGTAACTTCCTGGGGTCATTTTTTAAGATCCATGTCATCTGCTGCGCCTTGTCGGTCACGCTGGCTGTGGACAGCGCCGGGGGCAGCTCACAGGTGAGCCCCAGAAAGAGCCTTTTAAATCCACACCCCGTTGTGCTCTTTGAGCTCTTTCCTTCTTTCAGTTCCCAATATGGGGCTCCATAGTCTCCGGGGAGGAGGGGCAGACTCTACGTTTTCTTCTTCCCAGCCCATATCAGATCTAAAGTGTCAGTCAGCTTTTTCAAATCACGTCCTAAAATGTCCTTTTGCTCTTTACCTTTTAATTCTGTTTAATTTCTGAATGCCTGACACTTTTGTTTTGTTACATCTTGAATCTGACTACCAGGAAAGGCATTATGTAAAATTAAGGCTAAGCCTATTATGTTATCTAACACATTTTCTAACCCTCTGAAATAAACATACTTTAAAAATGGAGGTTAAGATCTTGTGGGGGATAATATATTCCCAATTACAAGGAAACAACAGATGTGGTATGATTAATGTTGTTAAATATTTGTATTAATTTGGTCCTTATTGACTTAATAAGTGCTTGTCTACCACTGCATAATTATACCACTGTATAACTGTAGTGTAACAAAGTGATTCCTGATTTAATGATTTGGTTCCTCCCCCAGTTTGCCAGTTTGTGTGTCATGTTGGTGGTGATGGTGACAATGTTGGCATTAGGAGCGTACCTCAAGCCACTGCCCAAGGTAGGACCAGAACCACTTGTAAAAGCACTTTAATTCCTAAAAGGAGTACTGTGAAGATTCTCCTTATAATATTTGACTTTTATAAAATTGAGAGTACTGTGGAATGCTGTGTAAAGCATGACTAAACATAAAAAACTCTGACAGAAGATTAAGCACATTATGTAACAAGCATGGAAAAGCACATTAGGCTGCTGAAGGAAACAAGATATCATATCCAGAAGCCCTTTATGTATTTTAAACAGTCACTCAAGATAGGGATAGTACACATGCACTGGAGAATTGCTAATTTAACTAGGTAATTATAGACCAAAACATTTGACTTCTAGTACAAGTACTGTAATGTTATGAAACACTTGTTAGAACTAAACTAGAGCCAATGTAACAGCTTCCTTCAAGAAACAGCTAGATTAGATCCAGGATAGATTAGCTACTGCATAACTACCAGACAGGACCAAATGGCCTCCTCTCATTTGGAAAACAAAAAATTTCATACATATTTGTGTTAAGTTTTAATATGAATTAGAGCGGATGAAGTTTTAAGAACAAGCAAAAATCTGTGAGATCACAAACGTCACATGAGGAACTTTTCTAATAATAGATCAAGTAAAAATATATCTTATTTTTGATGTATTTGCACTTGTATTAAAAATATTCACATCCTATGAGGGATTTGCTAATTAATGTAATTAAGGTGTGATGAGCGCAGTTCAATATAAATGCCTGCCTCTTCCCTGTGTCCCTGTAGTCTGTGCTGGGAGCTCTCATTGCAGTCAATCTCAAGAACACTCTTCTACAGCTCACAGACCCGTACTACCTCTGGAAAAAGAACAAGCTGGACTGTGTGAGTGATACACATATAATTACCTCATAGATGAAGGGACTCCTTAGCCACAGCTTATCTTCCACTTCGTAGTTTCAATTTACTGCCGAATGAGACAGGTCAGAATTTGTTAACTCGTCTCAGTGTTGTAAAAAGTTTTTAACATCTAAGCCTTATAAATTAAGTGCTTAAATGCTAGAATTCTTTCCTGATAGCATGTGCCAGGGTTATCATAAGATGACGCACACAGTTTCATTGAAGAAGGGTGGGACGTTTTGGGAGTAAGATAAACTAAATTTGATAGCTTAGTTTGGGCACGTTCAAAGCTTTTTTTTCACAGGGATCATTCTGCTGTAGATCTGGAGAGTTAAGAACTACCACCTGTTTACAATTCTGCACTTGTACTGTTCTGAATGTGCACTTGTACTGTTCTGAATGCTGCACAGTACAGCAAAGTGCAAATAAAACGTGTTTTAATCATGTTTTAATCCAAAATCAAATCATTAACACGTTCATGACATTCATGGCCCATTAAAAAGAGTTTGTGTGAAGTACTTCTAGATAGCTTTCCTTGAATCTTATCACATGTCAGTCACACTTGCCTTTGTCTATGTTTACATGGCATTAAGTGTTTGAACAAGAGAGTCATAGTGCTGTTTTTCACCTTCGTATAAATGCTTACTGTATCAGATGCTAGGGTAGGCAACCTGCAGGAGTAAGCTTAGTTGTGTTAGTAGGCCAATACAAAGCAGTGCTTAAAAGTTCAAAATATGCAGAATGGAATTAGTAACTTAATCTTGTATAAGATCATCGTTGAGTAAGTAGTACCAGCAGAGACAAATACCCCTCATTTGGAAGCCACATCCAAAATTTCTTCAATAAGGTGTACAACCTGTAAATATTTTCTAGAGCCACAGTACAGTGATGTGAGCTTTAGATGCCATTCCAACATGATTTCACTCACAGATTCTTAGGTAGGCAGCTTGGAATAGATAATAAGATAATGGAGATTTTTTGAACGTGGATGGCAAAGAGGTTTATAGCAGTCAAGGCTTGGACACAGGAGAGAGCATGTCTCTCTCTCTTTTCCCTCCCCTCTCTTTCTCTGCAGTCTGTCTGGGTTGTGAGCTTCCTCGCCACTTTCTTCCTCAGCCTGCCCTATGGAGTGGCCATCGGGGTGGCCTTCTCAGTACTGGTGGTGATCTTCCAGACACAGTTGTGAGTGCATTTGAATTGTCATTAAGAATTTTAGTATTTTTAATGCTATATGGAATATGCATTCCATCCTGATGTATTTCTGATCCTAAAATACAAACAGTGGTGTCTTCAGATCCTTCAGAAACTATCTCCTCTTGCTACTGATTGCTGGCTCTTATATAACCATCCATCCATTTTCCAAATGCTTCATCCACTTCAGCGTAGTGGGGGAGTTGGAGTCTATCCCAGCAAACAACGCACGCAAGGCAGGATACACCCTGGACAGGATACCAATCCATCATGTGACACATAAACACTGACACACCCACACTCCCACCAGGGCCAATTTTGCCAGAAGCCAATTATCCTACCTGTATGTCTTTTGGACTGTGGGAGAAAACTGGAGCATCTGGAGGAAACCCACAAGAAACATTATGAGAAGATACAAACTCCACACAAATGGCACGCCAGGTTCAAAATTGAACCTGGGGCCTCAGCACTGCCAGACAGAAATACTAAGGCTAGTAGGAGGCCACCTGGGAGTAGTGCTGATGGGAAGGATAAGATAAGAAGATTATTACATATACAGAATATATAGTATTCAGATATGCTGACTGACTACTACCTGATACAAAAAGGAGCAGACGTAAAGATGTAAAGAGGAGTCTTTCTGTGTGCCCTTACAGCCGAAATGGTTCAGAACTGGGACAGGTCCTGGACACAGATCTCTACAAGAACCCTAAAGTGTACAGCAAGGTAGGAAGAAAGAGCATTGAAACAATACAGTCTGTCGGGTATTTATGTAGTGAACTGCAACATGATGAATGTTTTGTGAGAGACTCCAGTCACAATATACCAACAACTGTCTATTTCTAGTTTGCAAAAGGAGCTCATCATAAAAACAACAAAAGATGAGTTTTCCTTAACTATTTGAAAATTGCTGTTAGCTTGCAGCTTCACACGACGTTCTCAACATTCATCAATTAAACAGTGTGTTTGCTTTGATATGAGGGGCTTCTTTATTCTCCCATGCTTGATCAAAATGACTATTCATTCTTGCAGGTGAAATACATCGAAGGGGTGAAAATCGTTAACTATTGCTCTCCTCTCTACTTTGCGAATGCTGAAATATTCCGCCGAAAAGTCATCAAAAAGGTAAAAACAGGTTTCCTGATTAATAATTGAAACATGCAAAGTTTAGAATTTGGCCACAGTTCTATTTCTGATGGACAACAGCACAGAAAGGCTAGATGCTGCTCAGTACAAAGATTGTGCTGCTCTTAATGACAGATTATCAAAGAAAGAGAATCTCTAAAAAGGTGAATCTCTTTGAGTTATGTGGCACTCCCTCCACCCATGTTCCACATCCTCTTTATCCAATGGATCCTGACCCAGCAGACACAAGGGCAAGACAGGATACATCCTGGATCAGATGCCAGTCGATTCCAGGTCTCTCACATACAGATACACATAGGAACAACTCAGAGGTACCACTTACCTACATATGCCTACCATTGTCCAAATAAAGAAAGACAAAAAATGTACACCTCTGTGAAACCAAATAAAAGAACAACCTCTTAGACGTTTTTCTCATTTCACTCCAATATATACTGTATTATTTTGTACAAGCTTTCCTTTATGAGAAATCCATAGTGGGTCTTACAGCAAATTAAGGCTTGTGGCTTAAACTGAATGATTTTTATTTCATGCCATGTATTACCATGTACAGTATGCCAGTACTGTTCCTGTATTGTTTTACATGTGTTTCGACAGACAGGGCTGGACCCTGGGAAAATGCTCCTTGCCAGGAAAAAATTCCTCAAGAAGCAACAACAGGAGATGAGAGATCAGAAAAAAGAGGAGAAGAAGTGGAAGAGGAGTTCTCTGATCAGCATGAAAAACCAGGTGCGGATAGCCAGGGAGAAGAGGGGTCCCCCAGTCTAGGGAGGGTTACAGGGTTAACCTTCTTGTCATCAGGTGGGATCTACATGACCACAGGAAGCTTTGAGAGCACACTGAACAAAAAAGAAAGCAAAAAAAAAGATCTCAAAAAGGCAGGCCACAAAAGTTGCATGTTGAAGAATGGCACTTGGATAGGCAGAATATACCACTTAATGGCTAAAAAATTACAGTACTCTGATAGATGTGTCAAGTTGAGGGCTTCGTGCTCATGTCTGAGATGTTGTCTCTCAGCAAAGTATATTTCAGTCAGAGCAAGCCTGAAAATACCACACCTTCCCATCAACAGCTATTAACAACAGCTTTTCCTAATGTTATCTTATTTTGCTACAGCTTTGCAATGTTTCATGCTAAAATTTTCCTGGGATATATCGAGGCGCAAGCAAAGTTAATTCAGTCACAGGCAGACCATTTTAAGACCATGTTAATCATAGGGATGAGGTGAGAGAAGACATCGTAGGATACAGTCTGCTTTTGAGCAAATGGCTAAAACATTCTTCTTGTCTGTTCCTGGGTGCTGCTCGAAACTACCTTTCATTTTCTCTCACACAGACCACCTCATTGCAGCAGCTACAGAATGACTTTGACAATGTCGGCTCCACCAAAGGCAGCAAGCTGGAAGACGGACTGTCCCCGACCTACGTCAATTTTAACTGCAGTGTGATAGAACTGAATGAGCCAGGCCCACATGACTCACATCTCCCTCCAATCCCGGTCCTTCCCCCACCCCCGCCTTTCCACACCCTGATTCTGGACCTAGCAGGAGTGTGCTTCATCGACCTCATGGGCATTAAAGTCCTCACCAAGGTGCTGGCTTCCCCGTCCTCCCTCTGTTCCAACACATCGCCACACACAGACAGGATCTCACTGGGGCTAGAATGAGTCTCTACTGAGCTCAAGGGATTTTCGATACATGTACAGCCAGTTTGAAACAGTTACTTTGCTGTGTTTACCTCCTCAAAAATATGTAGTGGGCAGGTGTGAATAGACTTGGCTAATCATCACAGCCACTTACACTGCACAGGCAGAAAGTGTGGACCTCCACCGCATGCTCTCCTCTGGCGCACCTCTGTCAGAATTGTTCAACATATGACATGAGGTGAACCCCACAGGGCCTTATAGGAAGGTTAGCAGCTACTGGAGGAGGAGCATCTCTCTCACTGACAAAACTGGACATTTCCAGGTGTCCAGCAGCTCCTAGGAGTCACTGTTGAGCAGAAAGCTGAAAATATCCAGACTGAATGCCTCCTTTCTCCCCACCCTAGTAGGACTCGGACAGTTTTGTGCTGCCACATGGCGGGTCTTGGTCATGGCTGGCTAATGACACAGCCTACTGAGACACCTGGAGTACAGGGCTCAACAAGCACTCCATGCCAGCGCCTTTACCAGCTCGGCCTTCAGAGCTGGTCAGAGCTTCAGTCAGAGCTCCTTTATCTTTATAACAGCAATATTAAAGTCTCTTTAAGGTATTTGCTCTTCAAAGTTTTCTAAAGGATCCTAATGTGTATTTTCAGTGTAACAACAGGCCTAAAATTGATAGCAGTATTGTAAGTTTAATAATATAAAATTTAATTTTCATTTGCCGATTTTTACCAATTATGTCAAAGGCAACTTTAAAATAGAAGGAACAATTGATTCTTTAAACAACCTTCAGATGTTTTGTCATACATATGAGTGAGATCAATTTTATCTTAAAAATTCAGTCCTTGATCAGTTAATCAGTTCAATTGACAGAGGAAACAACTACAGTCCATGCTGGTATGCTTGGTATGGGTTGTAATGTAAGAGACATTCAGATGGCTCTTATATCAAGTAATGAAGATGTGTTACATGCGGGAAGTCTATACGACATTGACCAACACTGACAAGATCCTGTGGGAGAGCTTTCCCATGATGTGTCTTTGGCTGTCATGTTGCAATATTAAGTGTTAAGAGAACTAGCTACATACTAGATGTTCTCCAGATAACTCCTGGCAGTGAGATGATTGGAACTGAGCTTTAATTGCACCCTATAGTGCCCTATTACTCCTCCACAATACCGGTCTTGCTAAATTAAACAGCACTGTGCTAATCGCCATTGATAGACATGGAGTTATCAGCAAAGCCCAGATCAAATCTCACTTCATCACAGAAAATGACATCATTTTATGTGATATGATCAACAGTACCTCCCTTCGCTGCCCCATACTACCGTGTAAATTGTGACTAATGAGTAAGGATTTGCTTTGTATCCCTATCTACAATGCTACTCACTGTAGTTCTGTGAAACCGATTGCAAAAGTGTTGAAGAAGAATCCCAGAAAACGGTAAAATAAAGTATCTTTGAGATAAAAATCAGAAACATTTAGATGACGAAAGGGAAATAGTTGATGTTTTAAAATGGATATTTAACTTATGTTTTTACCAAAGAAGAAACTGACAACACTGAGGAAATAAAAAGTTCTATATGAAATAGGATAGCCTTGAAGTGTTAAAGGAAGTAGCAATATGTAAGATAAACACGTGTTGAGGACCTGATGGTATTTTACCAATTATACGTAAGGCAACAAGAGATGCTGTTCGTAGTACATGAACAAAACTACTCCAATAGTCAGTCAAGACAGACATTGTGTGCATTGATTGAAAAATTGCTAGCGTGGTGCTCAAAACTATACAAAGTAAATTTAGACCAATAAACAGAGTTCTATTTTGTGCTTGGCTAATATAATTTCTAATAAAACAGCAGAAGAGGACGTAAACCAAGCATGTGATGATATATTTAGATTTTCTAAAAAAATTGAGATTATCATAAAATAATACAGTCAAATTATAAGGTGTAAGTGTAAAAGGAAATTTATCCATTTGGGTTGAGAACTGGCTAACAGATATAAAGCAGTGCCTATAAAGAGTTAATGCTCAAAATGGGGAGAGATCATAAGTGGAGTACCACAGGGATCTGTGTTAGCGCCACTTCCTAATTTATTTCAGTAATATAGGTTGTGGCATTGTTTGTAAACTAATTACATTTACAGATGACACCAAAATTGGAGTACTAGTAAACATTGTATATTCTACAAAGAAAAATCTAAGGGATATACAGTAGATAGAACTCAAGACAAAATATAAATTAAGAATCTTTTTTAGATTTAGGGAACCAATGAGTGGAAAGAAGCTGCTTATGAGAAGACTTTGGTGTCATGTTGATTTCCATTTTGTACACCATGTGCAATAAAAAAACAGAAATGGAAGATACTGCATTTAAAATAAATTGTATATAGTTAAAAATGTAGAGTTAGAATTAGCTTACTGTTCAGAAGGAAGAACTAAGCACAGCACAACATAAAGACTCGCTTTCCTTTCTCCCCTGTTTGCCGCCTTGTCTCTCTCTCTCTGTCGAGAATTTAGTGTGTTTGTGTAGTCTGTCTGACTGATCTCTGGCTCTGTCTCTTTGTGCATTGTAGTTGCACCAGCTGGTCCTGAAGACAGGCAGAGCAGCATACACTAATACACTTTCCCTTAACACCTGTAAAACAAACAATGGAGGCATTAGAACATGCCAACTGAAGCACAAGTTTCCAGGCGATGTCAATAATCTAAACACAACCAAAGAGAAATTGTGGCTCACAGATAAAAAACAAAAACAAATAAAATGTTAGCTTGTTGCTTGTTTTGTATTAATATTAAGAGGAAAAGTTTTATAGGTATAGATAGATAATACTTAATTAATCCCGTAGGGAAATTGATGTGTTACAGCAGTCCAGCCCAAGACAAGCAAAACAGACATCAGAATAGTTATAAAACAAAAGACAAACAAGATAAATAAAAATAAATACATAGGTGTGTGCAAAATGTGCTGATCATAGTCACTGTAAAAACAATAAAATATGTGCAAAATGTGCATAGGTTTATACAGACTGATTGTCCAAAAAGTACAATGGAGTAAATCAAGACCTGTGAAAGACCTTCAGGATTCTGTACAAGTGAAAAAAAAAATTTTTGATTTTACCTTGTACCTACTGTAGGTAGGTTCAGACCTTTGCAAACATTGGGAGTATATTGTTGAACAAAACCCCATTGAGGACTTTGAGAATGCACTGTAGATCTTTATTCACCAATGGTGTTCTCTTCCTTTTTATTTCTCTTTACAGATGAGCTCAAGCTATGAGAAGTTGGGTATCAGGTTGTACCTGGCGAATGTTCAAGGTAAGGTGTTTTTCTTGCTTTGCTGGCAGTTTTGTTGACATGAGGCCCGAAATCAGGAAATTTTCAGACACAGAAATGAGTTTTCCTTTCTAATTGTTCAACGTGTGGGAATAAAAGTATTTTTTACAGTTTACTACGCAACATCATGGAATTGTTTTTTTTTTCTGTTTTACTGTTGAAGCTATACATTAGAAACATTGCTGTAAGGTGATGGAGGGGAAGATTTAGCAGCTGTCTTAATTGTCCAATCCTTCACCTGGATGGCTGATATGTCAGCAGGTTTTCAGTTCTACCTCTGCCCTCTGAGGGCAGAACTAAAGAACTAAACGTTCATGCAGTAAGAACTAAACCTTCTTACTGCATATTGTCTTACATCTCTGTTTAAAAGTCTTTTCCAATATTAAGGAATCAATTGATTGCAAGTGATCTAGATATCCTGTTTTAGAAAGGTTTAGACTACACCAGTCCTGGACTGGACAGCATTGTTCTGTCACGCTTGAACGCACCTCTCATTCACAACTTTTCCAGTGTGAAGTCAACACAAGACTGTCAAAGTACAGAGCCACTTTTTCTCAAAACTATAGAGCTAGCAGGAAAAGGCAATGAAAGGTAGTATATATTTACGAGATAAGAATAAGTTTGCTTTATGATTGGACACAATCAGGTTTTTGTCTGACAGCATGCGCTTTGTTTAACTTTGGAGAGTTATGTGATAATGAAGGGGTTACTCAATCTGAAAGTTAAAAGCTGTGCACTTTCTTTATTCTTTATGCTTTTCAAAGCCCTGTTGCCATGCAAAACCCACATCAAAAAGTAATCACTTTCCTTTTTTGTTTTCATAAGCTTTCTGTCACTGACTTCTTGCATGCTGCTTTTAAAGTTTCATAAGTTTTGTTTATCCACTTCAAGAACTACATACAGTACATGCTTAAGAGTATAGCTACTAAAAGACGTCTGCAGTACTTCTGCTTCAGCATGTATTGTCTGCACATGAAACAGAGACATCTTATTAGACTTTAATACACCTGGGAGCTATGGCAGTCACACATTAAAAGCCCTGTTGTGCCTTGGCCTCCCCCACCTTGTTCATGGCTCTGTGTACGGCCACACTGTAGCTCAGGTGTACGAGGAGCTGGAGGCTGGAGGGGTGTTTGAAGAAGGAAGTTTGGACCCCAGTCATCTCTTTCTATCTGTTCATGATGCCATACTTTTCTCTCTGGACGAAGCACAGCACAGCACAAAAGACCTGGACAAGGTAGGACACATTCTAACACTCTTTATAATGGCGTGCTCTCACAAACCACAGCAAAGAGCAAAGTTAAGCATGAAATGGTGCAAAAGACTAGAAAAGACCAGTGGAATACACACAGAAGGAACCAGCTGGGCAAAAACATATTATATTATTCAGTGTGCACATTAAAACTATCAAAAGCACATCCATTCAGTGTTTTTCTTTTGATTTGAGGACAGCTTCTTTGGAATTTGTTGGTACATAAACCGATCAATTATAAGCAGCAAGCATACTGTGTTTTGGGGAGAGAAATTGGTTGTTGAACTAAATATTAATACCTGAAGAAAGAATCTATCTGAAATATTTTTCTTAAATATCACAAAGCATAGATATCCTGTCGCTGATTCTGTTTGTTGCTACTTGGAAATGGAAGTCACCATTGTGTGCTGACCTTACAGTGAACGTGTCAGGCCAAGCCAGGCCGGGCCGGGTTACAGTCACATTTATTCCTTGAAGCCCACCTGAGCGGGTCTGTGTGTGGGGATGGCTGCTGTCCTTGGTGGCATGACACGGCCTTGACTCAGCGCCATGGAGTCCAGCCAGCTCAAACAGCAGTGCAGCGACTCCTTTGAACCGAAGGGCTGCTGCTTATGGGAGAGACGCTGAGCAGCCAGTGACTGTCAGGGCACAATAAGCCCACTGTTGTGTCTCTGACTCATGTGTGCTTTTGTCCACAAACAATTCCTTTTTTTTTCGTTGTTATCTGTACCAGAGGATGTAAACTTTTGCAGCCTTGGAAAATGGAAATGGTGTTTAAGAAATCCAGGTCAAGTAAAAATCAGTACTGAGGTTACAAGTGACATTTGTTTTTCTTGGAAATTGGTTTTCTAAAAAGATTGTGTTCAGAATAAATTTACTCATCTCACTAAGACATTTGTTTAGAATGGAAAATGTCTCTAAAATCAGATGCAACCAAAACACACAATGCTGGAAAAGGGAATGTTGGTCAAATGGAAGACTGTTACAAATAAGTAACAAATATTGTCGCTTGCAAATAAATAGAATGAAAGAAATTCAGACAGGTTAGAAAACCTCTTTAGATCTAGGAACAGTGCCTGAAACACCTTTAGGAAATGTACAAGTCATTTACTCGTGTAATCTCTCATTCATCATTGAATTTTGTGAAGCAAACACTTTAAATGGGGTGTTCTGTTCTTCAGGGTGAGACGGAGAGGAAGGAGCTGGCCTGTGACATTGAGGAAGGGCAGACAGATTTGGAACAGGTAAGAGACAGTGTTCAGTCATCTTTTGTTTTGTTTTCAAGTCAGTCACAAATAACAAAGGGTACTTTTGTGAAAAGGCACATCATAGACTTCCAATTAGACAAGCAGAACTCTGTTACTGTACTGTGACCCACAGCTTGATCATAATACACTGTGAAAAAAGATCCTACTGAAAACACAGTATAATTCTTCTGAATAAGCTAAAAAGAAGACATCCCTGTTTAGCTCACACTATTGAATGTCAGATCAGACTTGTGAAAAAAATTAACAGATTCATGCACTTCCACAAACTTTTGCTATTTATACTGTGAAATCATAATTTACATATATCGTTGGTCATGTAATGCAATTTTAAATAACGAACAAACATTTCCCTTTGGTCTGAAGGTACAGAACTCTTTACAAGAGACATCAAAAATAAATAATTAATTCTAGACTTGTACTGTAGCTGCAGTATGTGAATGTTACTTAGGTGCTTTAATTTGGGTTGTGCTGGTTTGAACTGAAGTGGTACAGTAAAGACAAAACGATATATTTTAACGTCTTCATTGTTGTTTTGTAGAGGTCTCACGCTGTGCCTCTCGGATACTTAGACATGGATGTGTAGAATGTGTAGGATAGCAAACATCTATCACTTCTAATAAGTAGTGTTTTGTCAAGTAATATTTAACAGACATTCATATTCTGATGGAAATCCTTTTTAGATTATTCCAAAATATCCGCAAAGCAGCTCTATTCATTTTAAAGACTAGTTGGATGCATTTACATCATTCCTGTCATTAATCAAAATGAAACACCTGCTTAACAAATCACAGTGCCGCCACACAGCTTTTACAGGATCTGTTACAGAACATGGTGGCCATGGTCACATTCATTATGCAACACTGTACAGTGCACCTGCTGAAAAGGGCAGTATTTAAAAACCCAAGAGGAATGTCTTGTTATTACAATCAATTTATTGTATTTATTATCCAATGCTCGTTAATACTGCAGGCTATTTTACTGGACCAATTTGGAGTCAAATTAGTTTCTCAGGTGTACAAATGCCCGTGTTCCACCCAGAAACCAAACCCACAACCTTTCCATTCAAAGTTCAGAAGGCACTGCCTCACACCTTCTACCCCAGTTTGGGTAATTGCTGTCTCCAGATTTGGTGTCTTGAGAACAAAACAGTGATATTTTCATTCACATCATTTTAAATATAAATATACAACCACTAAAGGAAAAATAAAAAATATAGATCACTGATTGTCAACCCAGGTCCGGGGATGCTCCATATCTGTTGTAATTACGTTATTGGTTGAATTATGTCTTCAAGACCTCTGTTGTAATAAAAAACTTGAAGATCATGTGGATGCTCAAATACAGGAGTAAAGATCACTGGTGTTAATTAAATTGTGGCTATGAGCTTACTCTGAGCTGTAGGCATTGCTCAGTTTTGTTTTTGTTCCTGTTTGCTTCTTTAGGTGACACTGGTGAACTGTCAGTAAATATTATAGTATAAATCCAAGGCAATGTATATTGTTAGAGGTCAGACAGTTTCGGGTTTTGTGATGGAAGTGTTTTCACACTGAAGCAGAAAGATAGCCCACACCCGTCTCAGGAGGATCTGAATGGTTGCAGTGGATTTGCACTTTTTGCATCTTTTATGATAAGCTGAGTCAATTTAGCCACTCTCATATCAACGCCTTTCTTTGGTTTTGACAGGAAATGTTCTGAAGGGTGTCCAAGAACAGATGGCTTCTCAACCTCAACTTCAGACCGACAAAGGGGGGTAGAAGGTTTGAGTAGGTGCTCAGTAAATGACCACAAAACCCACCCTGCAGACTCTCACGTGGACCTTATGCATGATGTTTGATTACTATAATCAATTATAGTATAAGCTCAAAAGACAAAACAATTTAGAAACTTGTGGCTTTAACTATATGCAAATCTGACTAAGTAACTCCCTACAAGCATTCTCTGCTTTTATTTCTTCACATATTAGCATGACACTTTTTGCAAAAACTATAGGGAGGGAGTACTGATAAATGGAATATATTAATATATAGAATACAATTGAAAGAATCTGTTCTATCATGGCCATAAAGTGAAGTCACACAATTCTGTTAAATGCAATATGCATCTTAGTTCACTCAAGTAGTAGACACTTCCACTAGAACACTGTTTATACAGAGACTTTTCCTGAAAGCTCAGTTTACTTGTTTCTGCCTATTATAGGTTTAATTACTGAAGTAGAATCACCTGGTGATATGTAATTAGCTTCTACATCTTTTCAGCCAGATCATGTTACTTTTCAAGCTCCACAAGGGTCTCCATATGCACATACAGTAGTACAGTATGCATGAACAAATTACTGTATCTTTTTTCTCACTGTACAACTGGCTGTGATTAGGAATTTGTCTAAGTGTGGTGGCAGCCCAGTTTGACCTACATCATGCAAACAAGGTATATGGCTTGCACTTTTACTTCTCTCTCAGAAGTTAGAAGAGGAAATCCAAAGATTGAGACCTCAGGCATTATCCCATCTTCAAAGACATTACTAATTGCATACATTCACACATGACCCTTTCACTCAGTGCATGAAGTTAGGAAAACTCTAATGCAGACACCCACCCAAGCTGTATCCACGCATACAGTATTTCAACTGCTTTCAGTTTGGTAACGACCATTTATTAAATTCTTGGGAATATTTTTACTTTGTTAAAAGAAACCAATGTATTTAAAAAGCTGTTAACTGTTAATGCTGTTAACTTGACCTGATTTACTGGGTGACACACACATCCCAGTTGTACAGTTTTGCTAGTCAAAATATAAATGATACAGTAATTTTGCAAGATGCTGTACCCTCTTATAGTATTGGGAGAGAAAAGTAAAAAAATGTAACATTTGCTTTACAGTCAAGCAATTTGTGTTTGTGATCATGACATTAATATGAATGAACAAGTACAGATGTTTTATTTAGGGGGTAATTCTATGCATATATTTGATCACACCAGAACAAAAATATACTTTGTGTTCAACCCAGCAATTTTAGAGGTCATTCAAGCTTACTGTGTTTCGGATTGGCTCTTTCTCCTTGCCCTGCAATGAACAGGCATTTATTCATCCCAAAAAATGAAAGTTCCCCCCCATTTGGCAAGTATTCATATATATGATCATTGAAAAAATAAACTTTCAGACTCACAAAATTCAAGATGATTAAACAGAACTTAGCAAAACAATTACAAAATAGGATAGAGGATAGAAGACTGGTACATTTATTTTTACTATATGTTTTAACTACACAACATTAAGGGAAACATACACATATATCTTATTTTTCTCATCACACTTCCTGAGATTTTGTGAAAACCGCTCTCTGGAGAGGATGTGTTTTTTACTGTTATTATTTAAATGGGTATCAGTTCTTGGGCTTTATTTCAGTTCATTGCGCAGGGAAAGAGGGAGAGTATTTGCTCTGTTAAGTACACTCAATCTCCACAGGGAGACATAAAGTAAGGAGCAGGCAGGTACTGAGATAGGAGAGGCCCTGCTCCTGATAAGGACTTCACACATTGCTAGATCCCAGCAGCACCACAAAGCAGCTGTGAAAAGCGAAAGTTCTTTAACACTTTCTTAGACTGCAGTTCTGCTGGACGCACTCTGTCTTTGACAAGAAACGCATGCAAACATCTAGACAACTGGAGGGCTTCGAAGGAGTCCTTCAGGCTGTGTAGTCTGACTGTACTCCCATTAAGACACCACATTTGCACTAAGAGAGATGTTGGCGTGCAGTTTTTGGTATCTGTAGAAGATTAATTTATTAAGATGTTGGTGAAGTATTTTAGAAATATGTTTTTTATATTTATGTTACATCTGTTTTCTGTCATTTATGATAAAACGTATGCCAAGAATTTCTCCAAATATAATGCCTTTTAATTCTCATCAGTTGTAATAAAAGGCATCTCTCACTTTCATACCCACAGCCACAATACTGTCTAAGGTTTTGTGTTGTCATAACCTCTGGATCTTCCAAAATCTAAAGGACTTAAATAAATACAGTGTATTGGATTGTGATGCTGTTCTTGTGAATGTGAAGCCATACACTTCTTGTTCGTCTATGAGTTTTTTTTTCAATTGACAAACATTGTATTATGTTTTCTGAACAAATATTGGTATGAATAAAATGCATTTGGCCTGCTCCCTCAAAACCAAGTTGGTCAGGGGTAATTCTCTGTTTTAAATTATTAATGTTGGTGGAAACCTGCAGTGAACTTTAAAAAGCTTTACACCATGTTTTTTATGCAGTTTGCAGATAGAACTACTGTATAGAGATACAGAACTTTTCCAGGATCTTATTTGCTATAGTAGATATTATACTTTGATATTAACCTGCCAGTGCATAGTTTTGGGATAACAGGCCATATACTTCATACTAAATAAATGATGAGGGCTCTCTTGACTATTGGGAATATTATATTTGTTATATACTTATCATCTACCATAAGGCCTGTTGGCTTTTGTCTGTATTTCTATTTGTGGTTTTATTTTGTTTCTGGGAAAGGAGTCATCAGAAACAAAGGTCAGCTTCCCACCCCTTGTCTAGTTGTGTTGAAGGTCAACAACCACACACACAGGAGCAATGTCAGATTTAACAGTGGATATTTTGACCTGTTCTTGTGCTTTTGATATTTAGTCATTGATATTATTTGTATTAATTACATAGTTTGAATAGATTTCATTACTTCATCTGGGGGTCCTTATTGAAAGGGATTTTCCAAAAGGGGTCCTCTAGGCGTTATAGGTTAAACCCCCCTGGATAACGTTTTATTCAGTTTAAATTTTAGTCATTCATAATTGTCCGTTAACTACTGAAACGTCACAGGCGCCCTCTGCTGGGGAAAGGACCCATCGGAACACGGATTTTTTTTTTATCGGTTTTTGCTTTTGTTGTTCCATGTCTCATAGTTCAATTCTTATATTTGTACAACATTATAATAACCTTTTTGACCAATACATTAAAAACGTATGAAAAAAATATTTGGTTTTCAAAACTTTTATTCCGTTTCTCATGCCCTTATTAACAGCTGGTATCAGTTTTTAAACTGTACATACAAGTTTACTTTGGAAAGGTCCATTTTACCCAACATGAGCATCACAAACAAACTCATAAAGCCTAACTTAACATGGGTTACAGTATACAGTATATTAAATATGGCCAAGATCAATTCTGTGAAGTCTGGAGATATTTGAAGAGAGACAGTATAGAAATTATTTTAAGTCTATGAAGTAACTATGACACCAGTTCAGAGTCACACAAAGCTTGTACAGCTTAAATCACATAACTTCATAAACAAAGACTGCAGTCCCACCCATCCATGCACACAAACACACACACCCATCACTGCAACGAACAGACAATATGCACGCCATTACAGGTAAGAAAGTGCTTTTTAGGGATTTTTTATTATTTTATAGTTTTGTTTTTCACCCATTTTTTTTGCTGTGGACATTTCTCCTTTTTGTGGACATTGACAAGTCTAAATTGAAAGTTCTCTTGCCCTGTGACTTTCCTGTGCTGATATTTAAAGAGTAATTTGTGCCTGAAAGTGAAGGTTTTAACCAAGCAGAGAAAGTGCAGCTTTCAATTTATGAGTAAAACTCAAAACAAAAATGCTCTGTTTTTCTTATTTTCTAAAAGTCTAAAGGCTTATTTGTTTTCCACAATGAAACATTGTGCTAAAATAAAAATATAAACTGTAGAGTATTTTACTGCATCACTATAAAATATTAAACAGCACTTTCCAAAAACATCAATTTATAAAAAATATTCTGGGCAGATTAGAATAATGCTTGGAGAAATTGTATTGATTTCTCTTGTGCTCTTGTGCACTGAAAATGACACAAGTATGTGTGAGCCCTACAGAATTCATACTCAAAGCTGATCTGACTGTTGGATTGTAAGCCTCACTGTTTTGCAATGACCAGGCAAAAACAACAAGAGTTTGGCCAAGGAAAGAAAAAGCAATAGTTGTAAATAAGAATTTGATGTAATTGGATATTTCCAGTACTCAATTAGCCTTGGGAAAAAATATAATTGAGTTGTGCTTGCAAATACCACCTTTAAACCAACTGCTGTGTGTATGGCTGTACAGAAGTATTTGTGTTTGTTTCATTCTATGGTATTCTTCTCTTTAGTTTTGGCGGCAGTGATCCTCCTGGCTTCTGTGGGTAAGTTAAGCCTTAATTTGAAGTAACACCAGAAGGATTAAGATTCGACAGAGAAACAAAAGGAAAACCAGAGTTTATAACAAAAAAACTCCCACCAGGTTTCTTCAGGGTTTGGAGCAGAATACCTTGGGCAGCACACATCCTCTTGAATTAAGTAAACCTCCTCAGTGAGTGTTAAATAAGTGTCCCGGTTTCATAAAGTATTTTTCTTAACTTGAAACCTCTCCAAATGATCAATTGGGGAATGCTGCAAAACAAGGTGGATTGCAGGAAACTTCATCTGTACCAAGAAAACAAGTCAAACGTAATGTGTATTATTAGAGTAAGGGTGGGGCACTATTGCTGGGTTACACACTGAGGTATTTCTAATGAAGCTAAGTTGCTCTATCTATCCATCCTGAAAGAAGGGGAGCATTTATAACTGAGTTCCCACAAAGAATTACTTTTGACTGGTGTACAGCACACAGATTCCCTCATAAAACTGATCTGTCATTGAGAATTCACTTGACTTCCGTACCATTTGATATCACTATTCATCCTTTTGTGTATGCACACACACACCTACAGTACATCTACTCACACAGATAGACACACACATATATCTACGCCACCAGTATACACCGACACACCTACACAAAAACAGACATACAGTACAGACCTATAGTATACACATCCACACACACCTACACACCTACCCTTATAAAAACACACACACCTGCACCTACAGTATACAAACTGTACACAGAGACATTCACACCTACAGTACACATACATACAAAGATGCACACAGATACACACATCTACACCTACACATACACTTACACACATTCACACCTACAAAAACACAGACACACCCACACCTACACACACACAAAGACACACAAACCTACATACAAAGACACCTACACCTACAGTACACACACCCACACAAACACAGACACACCTACACACACTAACACCTACACATGCACATGCACACACACAAAGGTGACCCTGTGATGGGATGCTGACCCATGGTTTGGTGCTGCCTTCTGCCCTGTGCTTTCAGGATAGACTCTTGGGTGGCACAATCAAGCAGATTTCTGACGATGGATAGATAAAATAATAATAATAATAATTGCTTACACTTATATGGCACTTTTCTGGACACTCCACTCAAAGCGCTTTACAGGTAATGGGGACTCCTCTGGGGAGGAGAGCAGAGTAATTAAGCCAATTCATAGATGGGGATTATTAGGAGACCATGATTGGTAAGGGCCAATGGGGAATTTGGCCAGGACGCAGGGTTACACCCCTACTCTTTTCGAGAAACGCCCTGGGA